TACCTGGTCTTCACCTTCACCATTCATCAGACATTACAAGGTTGACGTGTATACCTCGGCTGAGGCTTCCTTTGGGCAGCGTGTGTTGCAACAGGTGCTCCCCCCCGTGGGGGACCCTGGCCAGCCTAGCTCCCGCCCTGGACCTTAACTGCTTTGGCATGTCCCATGATTGGATTCCCCAAGCAGCACACAGGAGAACGACCGTTGACTTACCTGAACGGTCCTTCTATGTGTGCTGCGAGGGGAATCCAAACCCGCCTGCAGTTTCGGCTGGCCAGGGCTCCACCTTGACTCTGACTCTATGACTAACCTTGCCTTTTTCCCTGACTGGACTACTCTGGACATGACTTTGAATACCTGTTTTGGCTATGGCCATGAGTGACATTGACATACATCTTTCAATGGCTGACTTTGTGCAAAACTGAACCGGTCCAGTCAGAGGAGGCGTGGTCAAAATTTACATACTCAGTCTCTAGGCTAATGGACAAAGTTAACCCATGATTGGATTCCCCTCGCAGCACACATAGAAGGACTGTTCAGGTAAGTCAACGGTCGATTTGCTCAGGGCAGGAGAACATGACTGCGGGACATTTCAACTATCATAAATGTGGGCTAGTTGCCAATCACCCAAGTTTTGATCACATGACTAAGGGAGCTTGCAGTCCTTATAAGTACCCATTTATAAGTAAATTTTTTCAGTGCTGTCAGACCTTCAAATGGTCATAATCTTAGTACGACCTTAATTATCAGGGACCAGAGTCTTGTCATATTTGATAATGCGGCATCATCTTTTTGTGCATCTCTAAAGAAAACCATTCCTTCTTTTAGAACCACAGTTTTAGACATTTGACTAGCCTTTAGCTATCCTCAAAACATTTTCGACTTGAAGGCATATGGTTTAATTCTGATGATCTTCATAGCTACCTTCTAATGGTGTGGCTGTATTGAGCAGTGAATGGCTCTTCTTTTCTGCCCTGTTTTGTGTAAGGCAGTGTGTTCAATGCGCATGTACATGTAAAACTCCGATGATCAAGAGGCTGTCTGTACTTATATATTCAAGTGCTTTTACTTTTTTCCTTTCCAGTTTTAGCAGATTATTCAGTTCATCGGGCAACACTGCTAAGAAACCAGAACCACCAGTTAATGTTAAGTACAATGCACCAACCTCACACATAACTCCTTCAGTCAAGAAAAGAAGCAGCACCTTATCTCAGCTACCAAGTGACAAATCAAAAGCTTTTGATTTCCTCAGTGAAGAGTAAGTTCTGTTTTCTTTACAGAGCAAAAATACGTGTAGGCAGAACTTACCAACTATATAGTGACCAGTGACATGTGGTGAGGTTTATGGCTGGTAAGGAACTGACACAGTGGTGGATTTCAAATTTTTTAGACTTGTGGACTTGAACTCCCAGAATTCCACAGCCAGGCATGCTCAGTTCCAATTTAAAGTGACAGCATTTGTTTTTCTCCTTTGCGAAAAAGTTTCCTTCATTCTTTTTCTTCTCCTCCTCCTTTCCTCCCTCTCTCCCTCCCTCCCCCCTCTCTCAAACAGACACACACACACACACACACACACAC